AAAACTAAAAATAAAACAGAAATTTGTTGTTAAATAAAATTAAAAAAAAAACATAATTTAAAAGAAAATTACATATTTAGTCATCCAACTAAATTAGCTTCTAATTTTATTTAAATTTAAAAAAATGTTGCTGGAAACTTCAGGGGTAAAATGGTAATTGAACATAAAGAAAATAAAAAGAATAATAATAATAATAACCGCCATGGCTGACCGGGGCAGGATTTCCCGCGTTGATGAATGGATATTTAACTGATGCCTTCCTCTTCCCCAACTCCACTTGCTTCCATATTCCTTTCTTGCATCTTGAACAGAAGACTCATTCCTCTTCGAAATTCTTCAATCAAGTTCTCTCTCAACTCTCCCATGGCGATTTCTTCGTCCGCCATGGCTCTTTTCCTCTTCCTTCTCCTGTGCTTCTCCTTCTTTTCGCTGTCTCATTCCCTCAGAGGTACGCCATTTCCGCTTCTCTTTTACTCTGTCTCTCTCTTCTTTTCTTTATTCTTACTCTCCTCCTCTCTTTTCAGGCTTTTTTATCGATTGCGGCTCCACTTCTCCGACCACTCACGGTGGCCGCACCTGGCAATCCGATGACGGCTTCGTCTTTAGTGGAATCAACAAGAATGTCACCGGTCCCGTTCTTGACCCTACGCTTTCCACTGTGCGCTCCTTTCCTAGGGTTCTTAATCGTAAATTCTGCTATGTTGTTCGACCGGTTTTTCGTACCCGGAGGTATATGGTTAGAACGACTTACTACTATGGCGGAGTCAACGGCCTTGATTCGCCGCCGGTTTTCGATCAGATTGTTGATGGGACTGTTTGGAGCATAGTGAATACTACCGAGGATTATGCTCTGGGATTGACGTCCTATTACGAGGGGATTTTTGAAGCGAAGGCGAGAACGATGACTGTGTGCATTGGTTCCAATATGTATACGGATTCGGACCCTTTTCTTTCTGCCTTGGAGGTTGTGACCTTGGAGAATTCTCTTTACAATACGACGGATTTCAACAACTACGGCTTGCGCTTGGTTGCTAGGCATAGTTTTGGGTACAACGGATCCAACTTACGGTATGTTTTAGAAAAGGGGAAAAATTTGAATGCTTCTTTTGACTTTCCATGTTCTAATCTTTCGGCAACTAGGGAATTTGATAGTTTTGCTGACATGAATTTGATCTAATGAGCTAATAAATATCATTCTTGGTGCTCTTGACGTTTTCTTTGTATTTCGTTTTTTTAACTATCATTCTTGGTGTTCTTCCCTTTTTGGGAATCAATAGGCATCCAGACGATCAATTTGATCGATTTTGGCAACCATTTGGGAATAGCAGTGGGAACGTAACCAGTAGAACTGTATCTGCCTCTGGTATATGGAATCTCCCTCCATCAAAGATATTTGAAACAGAGCTGAAGACTGATAAGCTGGAACCATTGGAGCTGAACTGGCCTCCTATTTCTCTTCCAGGACCAGAAAGCAATTTCACTTATTACATTGCGCTGTACTTTGCTAATGATCATGCTTCATCATCCGATAATTTGAGAGTGTTTAACATAAGTGTGAATGGTATAAAATATTACGGCGATCTAAACGCATCTTCAGCCGGTCATGTCGTTTTTGCTAGTCAGTGGCCTCTTCATGGTCTAACAAATATTACGTTGACTCCCTCTCCTCTGTCAAAACTTGGTCCATTGATCAACGGTGGGGAACTTTTTCACCTTGTGTCTCTTGGAGAAAGAACTCATGCAAAAGATGGTATGTAACATTTTTCTTTTTCATTTTTTTTTTATGTATGTTATTTGCCAACCATCTTTTATGGAGGCATATGGGTAGCTATCTAATTGCATTTCATAGGTTCTTTATCGGCATATGGATATATATATGTAGAACTTTTTTTCTTTTTATTTATATGTGTGTGTGTGTGTGTGTGTGTGTGTGTGTGATATTAGCTAACCATCTTGTATGGAAACATATGGGTTTATATCTAATTGCAGTTCATAGCTTTTTCTTGATGTTAGTGAAAGGGGAGATCAATTTGAACTTGATCATATATCCTGTTTCTCGTCATTTTAGATGCCTTGTGAGTTCTCATGCAGTTTTTCAATGCTAATGGGAATAATTCTTGAATTATAAAAGCACGGGGGAATGAGGAAGAGGAAAAAGTTGACATTTAGTTTGCTAGCCAATCTCTGTTGGTGGTCCATTCCATTCATGATTTGTCACGTGCAATTCTAAATGTTTTTAGCAATATGCCTGATTGTATTTCAATTGCTATTTAGTATGTTGTAAATCATTTCCCATTCTTCTGATGTTTTTTTTGGTTAGTTGTAACCATCATAACATTCGCTAGTTTTCTGATCATAGTTGTCAATCTGGAGAGAGTAAAAGAAAGTCTGAAAAATCCACCACCTGATTGGAATGGCGATCCATGCTTCCCCCATGAATACCGCTGGACAGGAATTACATGTTCTGGTGGCTCTCGAAATCGTGTGGTTACCTTGTGAGTTTGTGCTCTTTGTGGCTTTTAAATTTTATATTTCATATTCACTTTATGTTAACAAACTGCTTCTGTTTTCTTTATGTCAGAAACCTTACAAATATGGACCTTTCAGGATCCTTATCACCAAGCATTGCCAATCTTACTGCGTTGTCGGGAATGTTAGTTTTATGATAGACCTTTTGAGTTAATGGAATTAAACAATGAAGTTTTCTAATTTCCAGTTCTGTCTTTTGCAGCTGGCTTGGAAACAACAGCTTGTCTGGAACGATTCCTGATCTCAGTCCTCTGAAGTTGTTGGAAATAGTGTATGTTCTGGACTTTTCCTTTTTATTCCATTTATTACTGGGCACCTGAAAGCGATTGAATAGTTGCATATGAAAATATATCATGGCGGTCTCATTGAAGTGTTGTCATGGTTTCACAAGGTGGCTAAAATATTCGGTTTTATCACTTAGCTGTTCTTAGTATATAATGTTCATTACCTGCCCTGAATATCTCAACAGAGTTGGCTCCCTGAATATAGTGTTTTACCTTTATCAATTTTGTTTGTGGATTCATCTCGTTGACCTTCTTGCAACTTTTTCTGTTCAACTTATATCACAATTATTGATATTGTGTTTTTTCCTGTGAAGGCATTTGCAAGATAATAATTTCAGTGGAGAGATTCCATTGTCACTTGGAAACATACCACGCTTGCGGGAACTGTAAGTTTAATTGCACTATTTCATTGCTTAAAGATTCAGTGTCATTCCTTGGATGCATTTTACAACTTGTTTATCCTAAAAATTAATCATTGCTGTGGGAGTATGCTGCTCTGCTACAGACTTCTTGATGTACAATTCTCATGCTTCTGACTGCATTGCCTTTACATAGTAGTTTGAAATGAAGAAATTTTTTAGCCCAATGCTCATTGTTTTATTCATAAGTTAGGTTATATAATGACTTAAGTAGTAGCCACCTTCTTTGGGGTTGATTGGAAATATGTATCCGTAGAGTGTGGATATTTTTCTCCCATGTGTTTCAAATTATTTGGAGCATAATTAGCTGTGCCATGTTTGGTTACCACGTGTTAGTGAACATATCCAAATAGTGCTAGCAACTTCTTAGATGTTAAGTTGAGTTTGAGAGGCAAAAGATAGGGTGGTGCTAAAGTAACTAATTCTTCATTTATCATTTTGTTCTTTCTGGTGTAATTGTTATCCTCGTCTTATTCGGATCCTAGAAATATATCATACAACTTGATCAACTCTCTCATCTCTTTAAGTTTTGTCCGATTTTCACCTTTTTCTGTTCTGTTTCATCTTTTGTGAACATTTCTTAAATTTTTTATTGAATGGTAAATTTAACAGCAATTAATTGATTTGTTGTTCATTTGGCTCGTTTTGCTCTTATCCTAGGTTCTTATACAACAATAATTTGGCCGGTGAAGTTCCTCAAAGTCTTCTTAATAAACAACTGAATCTAAGGTACTTGCTAACTGCCCATAAACTTCTGCATCAAATTTTCTCAGGTGCCCAATTTTTTCTAACTTTGTAATTTGGTTTATCAGGATTTTTCCGGGGAACCATCTGTTGGCGCCACCACCTCCTGCTTAGCAATTTGTTTTTTATTTTTTTTTTTCTTACCCTAAAGGGTAAATGTAAAGCTTATTGTTTACTCGTGTATAGTACTGTTCGGGTAAACATTTTGGCCTGTAAGTTCTTCAAGGAAATTGTGACATACCATTTTGTGCCATATCCTTCTTTATTGTAAACTGTATAAGCTAACATGCCTGGATGGTCCAAGCGACTTTATTCTTTGATTTATTGTCCATGTATTGAAGGACCAAGATTACTATTCTCCCATATGTAATTGTTCTTGTTAATAATCGTTTTGGGTTCGATAAAGAATTCTCAGCTTTGTAGTGTTACATATTTAATTTAGTGGGTGTAGTAGCTGATCCACTCTGTTTGTCGTGGCAGTCAACCGAGCTTAGCTGTATCAGTATGCTTCCTCTTCATTTGTCGCTTTCACTTGTTTCTTCTGTATTCATCTTTATTGAATCATTTGTCCTGCTCTTCTGACTGTCTCGTCTGTTAGATTACTCTGGCCACATCTCCTCTACCCGAAATTAATTCAATTTCAAAACATGCATGCCCTTTTCAATTAATGTCAGATGTGCAGATACAGCTTCTGCACCACTGCTTCGGAATTCATACATGGTGGGGGTACCATTGAGCGATGAAAGTTATGCAGTCTCCCAAATAATTTCTTGCAAAAAGCAATTCAGGTTCGACTCGGATCTGTATACTTATGTTTATCTATTTATTTGTGTCATTTTAACGTTTAATATGAAAATCTGATGCCTTTGAAGATAATTTTGGACCCAGGTTCGATTCTGAAGACTGCTATTGTATTGGACCCACTGATCCGAGGCTGCTGCATCCGGCATGTGACATCAAACTGTTCACTGTCAAATTTTGCTATTCAAGAGGACAAAAGATGAAGTGTAGCACTAAAAAGGTATGTGGAAGCAAAAAAGCATAATGTGATTAATCAAGGAATAGCAACAACCAAAAACTAGAGGTCAGCATTTACAATCGTAGATTATTAGATCCACCGCCATAATCAACATTAATCCATACACTCAAAATGAAAGATGAAATTTTGTCAAGAAATGATAGAGACAGAGAGAAGGGGAGGGAGAGAGGGAGATTAACATGTTGGACTAGACTTGATGAGATCTTGAGCTGCTGACTTTTAGCTAATTTCATCTTCTTTCTCATCTATCAAATCTTCCTTTCTTAAGTGGGAACAAGGGTGGCAAAACACTGCTCTTCACCTGTGTGCAGATTGGCACATTAATCATAGGCCTTATTCTTATACTTGCTGATCTTGTCCTTTCCAAACCCTTCTTTATCCTCTTTATGTTCTTCTCTTTGTTTCCTGTTGTCCCTTCCTCAGATGTGGCTGCATCCGCCATGGACCTGGAAGAAGAAGACGACGAGGACGAAGAAGAAGACGGCGACAGCGCAGATGAAGTGCGTTGCTTCTTCAACCTCAACAATTCTTTCCACAGAACAGTGCATTTTGGGGGCCTCGGAGATGGGTCGTCGTCAAGGAACCAATTCACCTTGTTCTCCGCCTCCTTGTTTACCTCTATCTCCACCAAGTCTTCTTCATCTACATCTTTTGGAGATTTGAGGCTGATCTTGTTGAGTCTCTCTGCTTGCTGCATTTGCCAAAAGGGAAGAAGCTTCCCTTCAAAGAAAAGCTCGTCTGCCGTAAGCATAGAGTGGCTGCTTACTTGATTAGAAAGAAACTCAAAATCAGCACTCCTTGCCAGCCTCTCTGATCTCTCCTTCTTCTGCCTCTCACAAATTTCTTGATCCCTCTCTATCTGGGAATGAGGGGTTATGGAAATGAAGTTGCTTTCATCAAGAAACTCAGAAGAGAAGGATATCCGAGGACTGGAATTTGGTTCTATGGATGAAGAAGGTGGCGATGTTTGAACACTGTCTATAGAAACCATTTTTCTGTGTAGGGGTGTGGGTGTTTGGATTCCGGGAAATGGGGAAGGAAAATGATTGTGTCAGAGGTGGGAAAGTTGGGTAAATGAGGAGAGTTTGGGAATGGGGGAGATTTATAGATTAGGTTGAAGGAAAAGTAAGATGTTTAAAAAAGGGTAAGTGGTCTGGTGAAGCCGAAACAAGCAAGGTGTAGGTTGAAGGAGGTGGAGATTATGATATGAAAGCAAGCAGCACATGGACACCTAGGGCTCTAGGGAAGAAGCTACCTGACAAAAAGGCCCTCTTTAGCAATATATGATTACTATTCTTTTGCATGGCTAAACTCTTCTTCTATGAACTACTCCCTCTTATCTTCCACTTGATTCTCATTTATTAGAATATACCTCCAAATAATCCAATCCCACGTTCTTACATTATTACATATTATCCTTGTCCCTTCGCCTATTAGTGTGCTTCTTCGAGTAAAAGGATCTAAATCTTTAGCTTTTAAGATATGGGTCGGGTTGAGGTTTCCTCATCTTTTAGCTACTTAAAGTCTACTCACAATCTACCTGAGAGACATTGAATTGTAACTATTGAAGTTCTTTTTAGTACCATAAATTTATGGTAAGGAAGACTTCAACCTCTAATTTCAAGGGGTTTTGTCTACTCTTTTTTAACATTCTTTGAGGAAAAAGAACGAACTTTAGTACAAACTTTTCATGGCTGCAACGCTCCCCGAAACTTTATATATATAATATATATTGGTAAAAGCTATAAAACAGGGAGGAAAAAGAGGAAGAAAAAGGTTGGAAACTATAATTAAGAAGTATGATTGATTGAAACCCCAACACTAAAATAAAAATATAAAAAGGTTTTTGCTTGGTTTGACTCAAAGCTTCAACATGTAAATGGAAGGATTCTGAAGCATCCATGTGGTCTTCACATGATAGTAATTTTAATTTTCATCAACCCATGTGATTATCAGTCTTTGTATTAACCAACCAATTTACCCATACTGCCCTTCCCAACACCCTCTCTTCTCATGCCATTCAAGGGCTTTCTTGTCATTTCACATCAAATTGGTTGAATTAATATTAAAAAGCTTTGGTTAAGATTTGGAGGGTTTGATTAATATCCAGACAGCTAATAAATATAGGGCTTAATTTTGGGTTATTCTATTATTAAAGTAATATTAAAAATATAATAATAGTTTTTTTTTTTTTTTTTTTTATTATCTCTATGAGCATAGCACAATGTTCCAAGCTCTCTTTTATGTGCCCCTCTTCTTCTTTTGCTCCATTATTGAGAGGAGACACTAATATTACAGCTTTTCTTTGTCAGAATTAATTAATTAATTACTTCATTAATTTATTAATTCATTAATTAAAACGCCCATAATTATATTGGATTAAAGTGAAATCTATCATTGTAAAGCTACAGAGTCAGTGATTTAAATCAATTAAATAAATTTGGACCTTCCGATTTCTTTTTAATAAAACATATTTAGATGATGAATATGTTACTATTTTAAAACACGTAATTTTAATACTTCTATCGAATTTCTTCTTATAAAGTTTTTATATATTAGTTATGCATGAATGGTTTGAAAATTTACTATAAGTTTATTTGTGCAAGTTTTTTTAATTTCAATTAATATAATTATTAGTTTGACCTTTTAGTGAAATTGGGTTTTCTCCAAAAATATATATATATAAAGATTTAATCTTAATAAAGGAAATAGAAAATAATTTAATATTGAATAAATAAAAGTGAAAAAGTTTTTAAAAAATGACATACGATAGAGACAAAATTATATAAGTTTGTATGATTAATGAGCATGTGGCAAATGAAGTGACCAGATATTTCTTCTCTCAAATTTAGTTGTCGGTTTCAATTATTTAAATCATTTATTCCATAATTAAGGACTCGTTTATTTTAATACTCATTTAGTATTTAACTTTTCATTTTTTTTAAATTAGTATATTTATATATATTACCTCTGTCAGTAAATTTATTTATTTTATTGTCTACTTTTTAGATATATTTTCAAAAAATTAGAAAATAATGATTTTTGTTTTTCAAGTAATTAATTATAAAATTAATTATAATAAGTTGGAACGGTGGCAGCTGCTGTGCCGCCATTAAAGTCAACTCTCTCAGGGTAATTCCAAATATCTGCAAAATAAAATTTTGATTTTGTGGGCCTTACTGGACTTTGATGGTCCTTTAGTGGGCCATCACAAATGGCCCAAAACAAAATAAAAACAAATGGCGTCGCCCGGACTCGAACCGGAGACCTTCAGTGTGTTAGACTGACGTGATAACCAACTACACCACGACACCAGATGTTACGTATAAATTTAATTATTTATATTATACTATATGTTTATTTAACCTCTATAATTTATTTTAAAATGTTTCTAACAAATATCTAGACTTTCACGATGATATATATATTTATTGTTAATGCACTTTATAAAATGTTTGAATTTCATATATGTTAGGTCACTAATCTTAATGAGATTTAGACGTTTAGTAGCATTAAACGTAAAATTAAATATTTGTTACTCAATCTATTGATGACCGTAAAATGATACATTCGTGCTTCAATATTTAGGTTTGAGTGATCGTGGGTTGTTAAGAAGTTTGTGGATGAGCATAACTGCCCTGCAAACGTTGTTCACAATGACAACAGACAAATCACTGTAACGAGTCAAAGTAGACAATATCTTCTAGTAACGGGATTTGACTATTACACATAATCTGTTTTCATCTTCGATCCGTGTTTTCAAACTTTTTTTTGTCTGATCTCTGCTTATTATCATTTATTTTCACCGTCTTCTCCGCCGTACTCCGTTGTCGAACCGACTTCTTCACGACGTGTTTTTCGTCGAAATTACCATTTTAATTTTTTTCGTTTAATTAAACACAATTTTTTTTTAATTCAACCGGATTAAAACCTTAAACATTTTCATTGTAATTATGTTTCGATTATTTAAAAAAATTCAATTTATTTCATAATATTTAAACTATTGACCTGTCACACGTATGGATAGATGAACATTTTTCTAAGCTTATACATTATTTGAAAGTTGCTTCAAAGAGAACGAAAAATGAATCGAATTGATTTTCATTCTTGATTTCAAAATTGGTAATACTTGGTCTTTGACGAGGAAGTACTAACAGACAAATAATCGATCGAGATTATGATATATTCACAATATTCCACCATTCTAACTTGTCTTGGATTGCTACGTTTGTATCCAATTAGAAAACATAGATTATATTATTTATAATTATATTGATGATTACGATCGTCGTTACCATTTATTTCATCTCAAAATATATTAGGTAATTTTTCTCCTATACAATGGTTTGATATTGGGACAAATAATTTCTAAAAAATTGTTTTTATTTTTTGATTTAAATATATTTATAAGAAAAGGAGTGGAAATATTAAAAAAAAAAACACAATATAAAAAAAATAAAATTAAAATTGAGCTTTAATTTAAAAAATGGTGTAAAATATAAAATATAAAATAAATAGAATTTAGATATAAATGATTAAATGCGTAGAATTTCAAACTCCCCTCAATTATCGTTGGTCTTTTATTAATAGTCACTTATTACAAAAGGCAATAATTCGTTTTTCGCATTTGATATTATTATTATTATTTTATATAATTCGATAATTAAAGGAATTAAATGATAAATTTAAATCGCAACAACTTCACATAATACAAATAAATAAATGAGATTCCAAGTCCAAATCAAATCTTATAAACACATTAATTATTGGATTTCTAATTGAGGGAATGAAATTATAGTGGGAGTTGGCCAAATTAATTGAGGATAACCACAAAATACTAATTAAAAATGCCTATCATATAATTTTCATTCAAATTAAATAATAATTATTTAAAAAACATTAATAATAGCACAATTTTTAATATTTTTTTTTATAGAAATTAAAAAGAAAAATAAATATTGCTAAATATATATTTTTTTCATCCATGTTTAAGGCAAAGTTTGTCTTTGAGAGAATTTAAATAGTCCTAAAATAATAAATAAAATCGATCATGTGCATGCCTAAACTTAGCAAAATGCTATGTGTTACATCATTTCTCAAATATATTTGTTAAATAATTTAAAAGATAAAATCTCACTTAAATACTCAACTAAAATATTTGTTTATTTTCTTCTTCTACATCTACCAAATATTTTCATTTTAGTTCATAAAATTTCAAAAAAGTACATTTAAGTCTTCATTTAAAAAACAAAAAAAGAACAACTATTTTAATCTTTATATTCCCTCGGAGCAATTTAGTTAGAATGAAATGAAATTTAAATGAGAAAATTCAAATCTCGATAAGATAAGATCGATCTATAAAAAAAAAAAAGAAAAAAAAAGCTCTCAAACTGAATATAAAACAACTTACCTAATCACATTTAGTTGTGAGATCCCACGTCGATCGATCAACAAGGACGCTGGGCACCAAAGGGGGTTAAAACAGAAATGAAATAGTGTTTATAAGAGTGTGGAAACCTCTCCTTAGGGGACGTGTTTAAAACCGTGAGGTTAACAATGATACATAACGAATCAAAATGAATAAAATTGTTATATTAGTAGAGATAAAAGTTATTTGATAGCAAATTCAAAATTTTGAGGTAAGAATAGAAGAGTGAGAATGTATGCATAATCCACCCAATGTTAAATGATGCGAAAGTTATCTTATTTATAATCAAATAAATTAGGAGGATATGAAAATTAGAAGACAAATATCCAGCTATTTAGTATAATGAAATGTCAAATATGATATATATATATGTTAAACTATAATTTAGTATTAAATATCTTTAAAATAATCTACGAAATTATTAATAAATCATATTTTGAATCAATAATAACAAAGCAGTAACTTCACATTACTTAAAAGTGAAGGAAAATCTCAAAATGCTAATATTTTCATCCAAAACCAAAACATAAATGGAAACGAGGCACTAAAATGTTCTTACCGGGAATTCAAAACAGAGTGCGTTGACCGTGTGAAAAGTTAATTTTGGTTGTGGCACGACAGCCGGTGGAATTTGGATTGTCACAGCAACCAAGCAAGATCCACCAACGGGTCAAGTTTTGAAGGCTGTGGGTCTCTGGGTTTTATTAATCAGGTAGAAACAGAATCGTACCGGATTAAAGTTCAAACGTTCAAATCAATCAAGAAACTTAAAAGTTGATTACAGTTTCCAAGGCTACAGTCGCAATACTTGATTAGATTCTAATGTCAAATAAAAACAGCAGAACATGACATGAGCAAGCAAGAAATTAAAAGGAAAAAGAAGAAGATTACAAGAATTTCAAATCAGGAGTTCTTCCTAAAAGCAAGCAGGAGATGTGACACTACAGTACAGACATAAGCAAGTTTCGCTACTTAATTAACATTTAACATTTAATTAGGGAAACAAAAAGTTAATTAATTATTTCATTAATCAAACCTCCTTACTAATCATCGTCGTTGTCGTCGTCTTCCTCTTGCTTTCTACCATGGAGTTTTTGCAGTGCGCGATTGCTCCTTGAATTGCGCTCTGCAACTCCTCCATTGACGACGTGTTGTTGTTGACGTAGTTCGTCGTCGTTCCGATTCTACTAGTTGGATACTTGCTAGACAATCCGGTTCGAGATGATAGAATACCGGAGTGGCTCGGCGATGATCTAATCGACGACGGACAACTCGAAGCCAGATTTCTTCTTCTCGGATATCTCAAGTTACCGGAGAATGAATGCGATAGCGCTCCTGATCTGCTTTCCTTCCCGGAGTTATTGCTTGAAAACTCTATGTCCGATGATTTATCCTCTTTACCAGATCTATCCGTCTTCGTCTTCCATTCCTGCTGTTGTTGCTGCTTCTGCGAAATTTTTCCGTATAACGGCTTCACTTTCTTCAAATACTTCCTGAAAACTTCCTTAGCAGAGGAACTAATTTTCTTGACGTGCGATCCGGATACGGTTTCAGGCTCCGGATTATTCTTCGTCGATTCTTTCCTAAACACGGAAGAAAATCTCGATAGCGAGAAGTATTTGCTCTTCTTAATCGGATTCTGAACATTAGGATTGGAGTTGTTGTTGCTGTGATTCTTCGCCGTATTGGTACCGAATCGCGTTCTGAACTCATCGTCCTCCGTGACGGAGCTAGGTCTAGAGGAATCGCACTCCGCGAGAAGCACGATGTCGCTATTGAACGAGGAGTGAGATTCGGTAGAGCTTTCGGTGGAATCGCGCGACGCAGTGGTGCTGTTCGTATCAGAAGACGACGACGTACTGGAGGAGGCGAGAATGAGCGTTCTGACCATGGAGAGGCGCGGGGAGAGATGGAGAGGAAGCAACTGACCTTTGTAGAAGAGCTCATCGGCAGGACAGAGCGCGGAGGAGGCTTGACGAGGGGAAACAGAGACGGTGAATTCGAAATCGGAGGATGAAGACGAAGAGAAAGAACGCGATGGTGATGATGGTAATGTTTGTGATCTCGAAGTTTTCGCCGCTCGTTTCCCCATCCTCTCTGCTACATGATGGTCCAGAGATAGAGAAAGAGATAGAGTCGAATAACAATTGAGAGGAACGTAGATTGAACAGAGAGGAAGAAGAACGAGGGTTCATATAGTGTGAACAAAGGAGTAGTAGGCTAACGCTCGAGGGGAGCGAGGGAAGAACACGCGCCGCCGTGGAAACGAGTAGTCGCTTTCACATGGGGGGTTGGGAATCGCTTAAGACATGTGTCAGTGGCCAATGGTGGGATTGGAGAGTCACGTGGCGAAAACGTGAATGGTGGGAAAAGAGCACGACGGGGCTTGTAACTTTCTAACTTACCAAAGTCTTTTTCAAAATTTTGTGTATTTTTTTTTTTTATTTTCTCTCCCCGGAAAATTGCAAAACCTACTCATATATATTTGTAAATTTTTTAAAATAATAATAATAAATAGTAGAAATGGTCTCTTTAGCCTACCACATATAAAATGTCTTCACAATCCATTCCTTTGGAAGCCAGCGTCACTTTGTCACACTAGCGTCACTCTGTCACACTGTCTAGTGTCTAGTTATGATACCATTGGTAACAGGCCAAGCCACCACAAACAAATATTGTTTGCTTTGACTCATTACATAGTGTCGTTAATCTCACAGTTTTTAAAATTATTATAGAGAGGGTCTAGCCCTACTCCAACTAATGGCTCACATCATCTAATAACTGACTCTAATATCATTTATAACAGTTCAAGTCGACCACTAGCAAGGATTTAGAATATATACAATAAGTGAGAGGAGGGTGTGCGTAGGGGAGGGTGTGTATAGTAATTAATGCACACTTGTTTGGCCATCAAAATACTTAATTCTCCCCATCTTAGTTTTGGATCTTTTATGATTATTACACATCTACCCCTACACTTTCCTCCGCCTATAAAACCAAAATTATTCAACCTTTCCCATCTTGTAAAAGTCACTTGGTTTAGTACCTCCAATCTAGCACACCATTTATTACCATATTCTCGTAATATTTTAATTGAGAATATATATTTTACGACACATAATCTTTTAATTTAATGGCTAAATTAATAAAAATATCTACAGAGGATGAAATGGAAAGATAATTAAAGGAAAATCCAAAGGAAGAAAGATGGGCTGGCGGGTAGCTGTGCCTGCCACTTCTGTGCGGTGGCCTATAAAAAAAAAATACAAATATTTTTTTTTCCTTATTTATTTATTTATTTTAATTGTAAGATTTAATTTACCTTAATTAAGTCGAACAAAAACAACTGAGATTCCTAGTAGATTCATCACCGCCAGCGCTTCCGCCCATCCAAAGGCCAAAATTAATGAGAATTGGAACCCTCGCGTTTTAATCTTTTATTGTCAAAATACAGTAATTTTTTAATTGCCTTCTTAATTTTACTAATTCATTAATTAAGATTAATTTTTTTAAAAAATTAAATTAAAGTAACGAAGAATGTGGTCTACGAGACAAGAAAAACCCGTGCATCGGTTTGGTGCTTGTCACACAAGCTCTAGTGTTTATGTTAGTAAGAGAATTTGAGATACAGAGTTTCAGAATTTGTGAACTAAGATGGTTTATTTACCGCACGAGTAGGATTTCACTCGATTTCTTGAATGGATAAAGGGAGCACTTGGGTGTGAGCCTTCAAGAAGGTCGATCGCGAACATGGGTGATACAAGGAAATCACTACAAGAGGAGTAAGATTCGGATTACCTTGTTGATCGAATATCTCAAGACAAGAACATTGTTTGAGATTCGAATCACTCCACCAGCAAGATCGATCATGTCTAGCTTGAATGATTCTTGTTGATCAAATATCTCAAGACAAGAACACTTGATTGATATTCGAATCACTCCACAAGCAAAATTGATCATGTCGAACTTGAATGATTCTACTTGCAACCTAAACTACATAGAATTGTAAAGAAACTTAGTCATTGGCTAAAGAAAAACACAAATGCTTCTTTTATTATATTTTTCCAAATCTCCCTACTAATACACTTTATATAGCCTCAAAATGAAACAAAGGCATTCCAACAGTTTGTAATATTCCTACTTAATGGCCATAATTAACCATCCTGTATTTGTAACCTAGAGTAAATTAAATGTATTTAAATAAAATACAATAAATCTAAATTATTATAAATTGTAATCCATCCAAAATTTATAATATGAAACTTCATTCTTCTTAAAGATGACATGAATTGAAATATTTTTTGATAATTTCAACAATATTTTCTTCACATCTTCATTGGAGCATATTATATGATTGATGTCTCTTGATTCATATCAATGGGCTTCGTCCCAAGATTCTTTTCTTCTGTTCTAGCTCGATAAGCAAGAGATTAGTTCAAGGAGAGTCTTTGGTTCAACCTGAGTGAGTGAAGCTAGGCCTAGCCCATTAGGGCGAGGGTGGTCGATCATTCGATCATATGGGCTAACACATTTGTTGGGCCTACCCTCCCGAGTCCATTCTCTCCAAAAGCAAAGAACGACAAGGAACCAACTTGAAAGAAAGTTTTGGAATGGATTACTACTTTGATGATCAAGATCAAAAGTAAAGAAATACACATATTTAAACTCGTAATTTGAATCACTCTACCGGATAGTTTAAAGCATAATATGAAAACCTTTTAAATAATATTTTAAAATTGGAAAATACAATAAAATCTTTTTTTAATTTATTAAAATATAATTTATAATATTTATCCCTTTTAATATAAATATATAATTCATAAGATGGGCTCTTAACGAAAACCGTTACAATAGGCCCAAATTTGCACACAGAAGCCAGGCCCAGCCCATCTTGGATGGAGAAGTGGATCTCACTGTCACCGCATCCGTAGGAGAAACAAAAAAGAAAAAGGAAGCCACCAAGTCCCTCACCAAGAATATTTGGATGAAATTGAAACAGCTTCCGATTCCCTCACAATTAATTTTCTTCTTCGCTTACGATTCCCCGTCGAAGAACTCCTCAATCTCTGTTTCAATTTTCTTCTCTCTCGTTCTTCAGTCTCCTAAATCGTTTCTGCAACGAGATCACGGATAAGTTCCGGGATTCATCTCTTCTGATTCGGTAAAAACTTGGTGTTAATTTTGTTTTTGTTGTTGTTTTTTGCCTTGATTTCTTGATTTCTGGCATGGATTTTCATGTGCGTTTACGGGAGATTGTTGACGACAGTTTTCGCGGTATTATGCGATTTATAAACTGCTGCCTTCCTGGATTTTATGATTTGGACAAGATCTTGTTCCAAGACGTGACGCTTGTATCCTGTAGATTGCTAGTTGCATGGACATGTATTTTCCTGTAAAACAATTTTATAGGAGCAATACGAGAATATATTCCTAGTGAATTGACATAACTTGAGACCCTCATGACCAGCAAAATATGTATTTATTAGGCAATTCTTAGTAAGCAAGGGTGGCGCAGAGAAGGAAGGAGGGTAGTTCCTTACAAATTATTTAAAAGAAAAAAAAAAACATTAAGAATTTGATGTTCACTCTATTTTGCCCCCTAAGTTTTCAAATTTGAAAAGATTAATGCATACGAGAAGTTAAACTGTATAATTTTGCCCGTCTCTAAGGAAATTTCTCTCTACCCCTGGTAGCAGGGAATTATTTTTAGAACAAATTATTTATTTAATTGTCTCCTCTATCAAATAGATCATGTTTACAACTCTCATAAAAATGAATAGACTGTCGTGTAATGAATTTATGAATTAAGCGGCTGTTCAAGAAATTTCGGTTTCTGGAGGTGTTGGCAGTATTATATCAATGAACACATGCCTATGATAAAATATTTCCGAGTGGAATAACTGGCAAATACTGCATAACCATATGTTTTTCACATTTTTTCTTATCGTTTAAGCAAAATTTGTGATAAAACGATATAATTCAAAGGAAGGAAAAGTAATTTTAAATGCAGATGTTCATTTGCTATTTTTCCTTTATTAAGATAAATTTTCTTCAGAAGTTTTGCGTTTCCTATCCTTTTCATCTATAGCCTATTACCCCNTTACCTTTTTTTTTTTTTTTGACTTGGGGTGGCTGTTATTTTGTTCAGGAAGAATGTCTCGTGTTCGGAATTTCAGTTATCAAGGAGGGATGACTTATGATGAGTACTGGGCCACTTTGAATAGATATGATTTCAAAGACCATCATCAAATGACAAATAGGAGCAATTATTATGATAATGGCTATTGCAACCATTTTGAATTCTCAGGGCAGTATAAAGAGCAGGTTAATAGGTCTATTTATGCGAGGACTGATACTTTGAACACCATCAAGTCTCATAATTCTCAGTCTTTTAAAAGGAGGAAGTTTTCTGCTTCACGTTGGGAGGATAGTGGGAAATACCATTGGCAGGCGAGGGCATATGTTAGTGGACCTTCAATCTATAGCAATTTGGTCCATCCTCCTCCAAGATCCAACAACGATGTCTCTACGTCTGCCAGCTGTAAACGCAGCCGCTCAATAATGGAAGACGATGAGCCTTTCTTTATGACCAGGGATGAGATTGAGAGATGTTCACCTTCAAGAAAAGATGGTATTGATACGGTACGTGAAACACATCTGCGGTACACATACTGTGCCTTCCTTCAGAGTCTTGGTTTGCAGCTTGAGTTGTAAGTAATCCTAAATCTCTGTTATCATTTCTAAGTTCAGTGAATGCCTTTATTTATCAATTTTTAGATAAAGCAATATTTGAAGTTTCTCCTCTTTGCGGGTCTTGTGGAGTTATTAACACGTCATTGTTTCTTGCAGACCACAGACTACCATTGGCACTGCAATGATTCTATGCCATCGGTTTTTTATTCGAAGGTCACACGCTTGTCATGATAGATTTGTAAGTTCTTTTCCTTAGAAGGATTCAGAGTGTCTGGAAGAGTAATGTCCACATCCATCATTATTCTTAAAGTATAGTTTACTTTTAGGTTCTATAGTTGATGACCATTGAGATATTAGAAGCATTTAAGTTTGTGATTGATTTCTATGTTACTGAAATTCCTTTGGAGAGAGTTATACTTTTGTGCTGCCTACATTTGTTGCTGTTGTTAATGATTTAGATTTGAGAATTACTCTTTTCTCTTCTCTTCCCATTCCCCATCTTCTGTTTTATCTAAACTCCTTGTGGAACGTAACTGCATATTTGATAACTTTTTTCTTTTCTCATCTCATTTTAGCAGTAACGGTAGGATATGCCAAAGTCGTCATATTGATTGTATCAATTATTTTGCATCCTTATTGCATGAGGTAATTATGTTGCATTAATCGATTTATTTTGTTTACTCACCTCTGTTGCAGTTGATTGCCACATCTGCGCTCTTCCTTGCTGCAAAATCTGAGGAGACACCACGCCCTCTGAATAATGTCTTGCGAGCTTCGTGCCAAATTCTACACAAACAGGATTTTAATGTCTTATCTTATATGCTCCCTGTTGTGAGTGCCGCCGAAATCTTCGTTATCTATTATATTTGCTTGCTTTCCCTTTTCCCATGTTCTTTGTGAATTCTTTTCTTCAAATATTTGTTAGAATACAATCACATGAGATTAAAGGATAAAACATCTACAAAATCTTCATGTCCACTCTTCATCTGTGACCTCATGTTTTTGTTCATCTGATTGGGTTTCTATATGACAAATGGTCAAATCAACAGGCCTGATAAATTAATACGACTGGAATATAACCACCTAATTATAATTCTTATCAAAACCACTATATTATATAACTAAGAGAGAATATCAATTCTTCTAAGTTGAACTTCCAAGTTGCCAATCATTAATTTTCCAGTTTTTTTTTTTTTTTTTCCTTCTTGCAAACATAGTACTATTTTATTGACATCTGTATGCATCTTGAACAGGATTGGTTTGAGCAATATCGTGAAAGAGTAACTGAGGCTGAACAATTGATACTGACTACACTGAACTTTGAACTCAACGTACAACATCCCTATGCTCCTCTTATGTCTGTTCTTAACAAGATAGGTCTTTCACAGTCGATCTTGGTGAACCTTGCACTGAACTTAATCAGTGAAGGGTAAGTCCATCACTTCATTTATTCAACCCATTCATTTGATTTATTGTTGTTACGAGAATTAACATGCAATATGTTTGAATCCGCTAGATAGAGATCTTGAAATTTGTTTCTTGTCTCTGCGATTATTTTGTCCTTGATATTGCTTCAGGAAGCTTCTTGGCTTGTGTAGTCTATTAGTAAGCATGCCCTTGCAATTGCGAAAAAGTAGGTCAATGATGTAACGATAAGATTTAGATTTGTGATGTGTGGGTGCAAGAACCTCAATGGAATGACAGATTTCTTGAATTTTGGCATTGATTGTGGCATGAAAGAGGTTGCGCTGGTGATCTTCTTTCCTTCTAGGTATCAAAATGGTGTGTTACTTTTGTCACTTGTTTTCTTGTTAGAGCGAGCTACCGTTCCTTACACATTTCTCATACTATGAATTATTGATTTTTCTGGCATGCGTATAATTTGCAGGATCTATGCACGATTAGTATGCTCGCCTGTTTGATATACTTAGCTGGCGGATTGATATGCTGTTCATGGAAACTTTTGTTTTACAAGTGAAGTTATTTTAACCATGAATATACCCCATCAACTTGGTACTTGGTGCTAATGATTGCCAATGAGCTTACTGCATCACTTTCTATCTTTTCTTAACAAAAATATCTATTTCTCTTCCTCTCCCTGGAGCGTCCTCTTTAGGCCATTCATTTTCCTATACCTTGAAAGATACGGGATATTTTCCTTATGGACTTTTTGACTTTGAAGAGCCTCCACATGTGATTGAACCTTCAATCTATTGTCTTTATAACTTAGAGGACCGCTGCCATTGGTTTTGCTTTTGCTCTTATTTCCCAATGATGGGTGATCAAGTGAGTCTAATTGAGAATATCTGCTGACCAGCTTCTTGGGATGAGTTTCTATTTAGCACAGAATAAGTCACAATGTGATTTAGATCTTAGATAAACCTCTCTTTGGTCTTTTCTTTAGCACAGAATAAGTCACAGTATTTACTCTTTGAAGATTTAAGTGTACATGATTTAAATAACATGTCAAACCACCAGATTCTTGATGTTCCATTGAGCATGTACGCACAAGCAAGCAGCCCTTCAGTTGGAAACCTTAAATTTGTGTCGACTCATTTTATAAGTCATGTATTTGCTGACTGCTGTCTATACTTGGTAAATTATCACGTGGATATCTGTTGATCATTTTGAGTCAGAGAGAGGGTGGAACTCAAATGTGGCGTGACTATGACTGGTTCAGGATGGGCGGAATCTGAATGTGAATATGGGTTTCTTGATAGGGACAGAATGTGAATTATGGAAGATCATATTAAAAAAAAATTTGGATCCCCCTCTCGCACTAAGAGAAAATATAATGCATGCATTCATATACATACCTTTGTCTATTACTGCATATGCCTCCATTTTCCAGTTTTTCCCATCCTTGTTTGACATACAATGTGTTACTTTATTTTCATGAAGCATTTTCTCTGTTTTTTGTGTTTTCATCACAATGAAACCTGAAGTTTTGCTGTTTTGACATAAATGGTATAATATTTAAATTATTTTATATATGAAATATATATTACCTTGGGCTGGTTTGCTTTTGAAATTTCTTTGCTTTCCTGTAAAATCTTTATTGGCTTTTTTTCTTAACAACCAAAGGAGTTCTATTCATTCTCGTCTTGCACTTCCACACATTGCTTTTGTTTATAATCTTACCCCTTTTGCTTTCGGTCATTCATCATTTATTTATGGGGTGAGAAAGTATGTACATCTCTTATCGACTATGGAATGTTTAAGAAACTACGGTTTTTTTAAACTCTCTTAACATTCATCATAGGATTGGATTTTCAACTAATCTGTCTTTTCTGTGTTGCTCTTGTTATCAAATATATACCGCTGTCATGACCACAACACTTCCTTGAACTTTGATATCTAATATGCTTATTATCTGACTTCTTGGATATTCTAAGCTATTAAAATTTTGAAACTATTGTGAAATTGTATCAGTTTCTCACATGCCGTTTCCTATGGGAAAAAAAATTCCCTTCTCTCTCTATTTTGCTTTTATTTTCAAAATAGCTTATTCATGACTTCGAAACATTTTAATTTGTGTTTTTAAAATCCAGCACTCTCCTATAGATGGAAAGATGCATGTCTGGCCTTTTTCATCTTGCCATAATGAGTAGATGCATCACTATTTTGAATGAAGCTGATTATTTTTTTTTTTTGTTATGATGAATATATTGACCAGTCATTCTATATGTTGTGATTATAGGAAACCCTGAAGGTGTAAACTTTTGAAATATTCAGTGACATCAAGGTTTTGCATTCAATTTGTTGGACATATAAATTGTAAATTTTAATTTCTTTCAGGTGATGTTTGTTCCAATTTATATGGTCATTAGAATCACAATCATCAATTAAACAACGTTGTGATCTGCACGCTTGTGTAAAGGTGCTGTCTATAGAAACTTCACCCTCTCCTGCCCCCCCTTCCATCAAAAGATACCGAATAAAACTACTTTCAAGGTACAAACTTTACAACAGATGCAACTTTCCATGGAAAGGCAGTTTTGCCCATAGAAACCACCCCCCTCCCCCTCTTGCCCATATGCCTAACCAAAAGAGAAGAGTAAAACCATGTCCTGTTCTAAACATTCTAAGGATAATTACCTTAATTAAGGTAGAAGCTTTACAATGGATTTAACTTTCCATAAACCTGAGTCTTTTCTTCTCGTGTGTATTTGTACAACGGTGGGAATTTTGGGTTGGATCTGTAAGTAGGGTAAACTTGCATGCTTTCAAGCACGATGAGATGAGAGTGCTTGATGACAATCCAGTACAGATCAACATTTACATCATTTAGAGCCTTGAAGATGGTGGGTTGCTTTGAGAAGTTTGATTGTTTGCAATATGCCACAACCTCCTGTCTTTTAGTTTGGGTTGCATTAGTTTCTGGAATGAAAAGCCCCTGCAGCCATTTTACCTGGGAGTTTGATGTATTCTGTATATGGGGTATAACATATATCGTATGATAGTGATACTATCGGCAATCTTCCAGAGATTCTTGGAAATATTCTACCTGAGTTGCTGCTTTTTAGTTGGTAAGAAGAAACGTGATATTTACTTTGCTCTTGCTCTTAGTTTTTATTGTTGTATACAGTTGTATATTTAGAGCTGATGCACTTTTTTGTCTTGAAGTACTGTTACACATTGCCATCCTCTTTAGGAGTGGACCCAGATGGTTTGTTCAACTGTTTTGTGTTCTTCAACTGGTTATTGTGGTTGTGGTAGTTGCATATGAGACTGAAATGTGTTTTTTTTTTTTTAGGCTGAGGAGCTCACTCTGGCTTCAATTTAAGCCTCATCAGATAGCTGCTGGAGCTGCATATCTGTCTGCCAAGCTATTGAATATGGATTTTGCTCCTTATCAAAATATCTTGCAAGAGTTCCAAGCTACGCCAGCTATTCTCCAAGGTATCTCAAAGAACTTTTCTCTCGTCCTATTATTTAAGCAATTTAAGAAGCGGTTGCTTTAAGAAGTAACCTTGCATTAACCATTTCTTCCTTTTATTTTCACTTTTTAAAAAACAGATTTGATTTCTTTGCTACATTTATAGTATAAAAACCAGGAGCTTGTTTGAGATATTCTTCCAAAAAAAAAAAAAAAAGTTTTACCATTCAAAGCTGTTCTAAAAGTTATTAACACAGAGTTAAAGATTATTTTGTAGTTGAAAATAACAATTTACAAGTCTTGGTTCAGTAGATAACAAATTTAACTATTAAAATAGACCTGTCGACCATGAAAATAAGCTACCGAAAAGTATATGAAAATAACTTGTTTACCCGTATTTGTTAAATCATAAACAAGATATTTTAGAACAATAATGGATATTGCATCATATGAATATAGTCTGTAATTGGGGTAGGTTTTTGCAAGGTTTGGTCTAAGTAAGGTATTTAACGGGTATACTTCTTTGTTTTACTTGTAATACATGGGCTTGTTCTTAATGTTCGTCTGTTAAAAAGAATGAACCAAGTTTTGACGTGGTTTGTTTTGCTTTCATGCAAAAATGCAGATGTGGCCCAGCAGTTGATGGAGCTGTTCTAAAGTGAAAGCTCGATTGGACGAAGCCTACATCTGGTGAAATTACACGGGAAACGTAACGTATTTGTTACTTTACGACACGTCTTAAATAGTTAAATCCTGACAGTCGCTTAACATGAATGGTTCCGAATCCCTTTCAATGTGCAAGACAGTGCTTTAGAAGTACAGTAGGAAGGCGTGTATTGAATTGGCAAACTGATGGTTATACGAAAAGGCTCATTTCTGGTCTGCTCTGTCTCTCCTTTAAATGTTATTGGCTTCTGATTCCTTCATTTTCTTTGAAGTCATTCAATCATACTCCGCAACGATGCCGATGCTGATGAAAATGAAGTCGATAGCATCGATGAAAATGAAGTCGATAGTGTCTTCAGCGGATGTATTAGAACAAATCAACGTATACATAATTTACCTATCAAAAGGTAAAATGTCAATCCATCAGTTGCCAATAGTTCTAATCCTTGTTGCAGCAGAGCGGTGTCTGTTGATGCAAAACATGTGAAATGATGAAACAAAAGGTGATTTATTCCAGCGAATTGGGTCAAAATGTACCAAAACCCATACAAAATAGAGAAATTGGGCAACAAAATATACTAAAAGTCCATACATAGCCCAAACCACGGCCTTTGAAAAGTCCTATGGAGTCTTTTGGTAGAGTGCAAGATTAATCAGTCTGGTTATGGTAACTAACTATCCGCCTGCAGTTGGGCGATTTCATCGAAAGCTTGTTGTGTAATGATTTCTTTTGTTTAATTCAAGGTGAAAATATGAATGCAATGAGGTATCCGAACATCTAGACATGGGTCATCACTCCTTACCCTTTTCTTCATCTAGACATGGGTCATCACTCCTTACCCTTTTCCTCCCATCTTTGTTTGAGTTATACGATCGGGAGGGTGTAGTTGGAGTGACACACGGGTAGACTTCTCAAGGTATCCTGAACATCTAGACATGGGTCATCACTCCTTACCTTTTTCTTCCCATCTTTGTTTGAGTTATACGATCAGGAGGGTGTAGTTGGAGCGAGCATTGCATGCTGGCACGTTGGCATTAATTGCTCAAGTTTTTACTTGCATGCCTAATCCTCTTCTAAGTCTCTTGAAAATGAGTGTAAATAAACATCGGGACTCCCTTCATAATTGGTTACTTTTTTTCCAAAAGAAAGTTGCAGGGACTTTAATGAATTGATAATAACTTATCTAATATACACTTTGACTCAATTTATCTAGATTTTTTCATTTTTTTCTCTTTAATTTGGAGAACATTATTCATATTTTTACAAACTCATTTTTAATTTTATGTTAGTTCATCTTTTAGTTATTGGACTTCAAATTTATTTTTTTAATTTATAATTTTACCAAATATATATATATATTCTAAGACAATGAAAAAATCTTACCAAATATATATATATATTCTAAGACAATGAGGTGAAGTGAAAGAGCATGAGTTCAAATCTTATCCATCCATATCATTGTAATATTCTACTTTAATCTCATTCATCCATATTATTGTAATATTCTACTTTAGTTGGAGAGGAGAGCGAAATGTGTCTCTAACTTACAGTAAATTATTACTTAAAAAAATTATATATTTAATTTGACATTTAGACTATATGTATGAAAATTTATGGTAATTCGTAGAGTGGAAGGATGAATCTTACGAACTTTAATTTTTTTTATATATATATAAAGTAAAATGGAATCCTTTATTGATGGTTCGTTGTGCATTATCCCAGTCAATATAAAATTCTCCAAGTTCTTCTTACTTTGCAGTTGATAGCCAAATCTTCATTTTTCCATCTTTCTTTCTAATTCCTTTCATATTCATCTTGTATGATTCTCCAACTTCAATCCCGTTTATTAGTATCTTGATTCGCGGTTATCACAGATTCCAACCCCCACCTAACTTTGAGTTTCCTGGGTTTGATCGTCGTCAAAACTTGGGTTCATTTCAGCTGCTCTGGAATCGGAGCAGAACTGATCGACCATGTCTCCAATCAAATCCAAAATGGGATGAACAGAGCAAAGAACATATGGTCCCGCCTTCCCAACTCCGATGAACATGAGGACGACCATGTTAGTTTCTGGAAGAAGAATGATGGGTGTGGCGTCGAGAGCCTTGATTATGAGGTTATCGAGAATTATGCTTACTGGGATGACCAGGTACTTTCATTTTGTTCTGTTTCTGCTCTTTTAATCTTAAGGTCGAGATTGGATTATTGTGGGAAATTTGAGATTTCCCATGATTATGCTTACTTCATCTGTTCATGTCGTTGTTTCATGTCGCTGTTTTTATGCTTGATGAACTGTGTTTGGAATTCTGTAGGCGCAAAGAGGGAAATTGTTTGTTGGCTATAGTGTGGCGGTTAAGTGGCTGTATGCGTTGCTCATTGGCATTGGTATCACCGCAGCTTCCTTTTGCCTTACCCAAAACTTACATATTACACTTTACTATTACTCATAGGAAATATTTTTAGTCATCATATGCAATGCGAAAGTGTAACGGTAACGGCCCAATCCCACCGCTAGCCAATATTGTCCTCTTTGAGCTTTTTCTTTCGGGCTTCCCCTCAAGGTTTTTAAAATGCGTTGGGAGAGGTTTCCATACCCTTGTAAAGAATGTTTCGTTCTCCTCCCCAACCAATGTGGGATCTCACAATCCACCCCTTTTCGAGGCCCAACGTCCTCGCTGACACTCGTTCCCTTCTCCAATCAATGTGGGACCCCCCAATCAACGTGGGATCTCACAATCCACCACCTTTCCCTAGCAGACGCGTTTTAAAAATCTTGAGGGAAAGCCCGAAAGGGAAAGCTCAAAGAGAACAATATCGGGTAGCGGTGGGCCTGGGCTGTTACAGTATTGGTGGGCGTTTGAAAACATTTCTTTTGTTTAAATGAACAGGAATTGACATTCATGGTGTCCTGTTCTTAAGAACCCTAATTGGAAAGGTACAATTTGGAGATTTGCTTTTCAAGTTTTGTCATTTTGTTTTCTTTTCATAATCTTGGGACATGATAGATATTTGGAAGCATTGGCTCTGTGGGAGGTGGATTGGCTTTAGGCAAGGAAGGGCCTCTTGTTCATACTGGCGCTTGTATTGCTTCTTTGTTAGGACAAGTAAGCCTCATAGTCTTATTGCTATTCCGTTCTTGTCTCGAACTTTGATGCATTAGCTGTTTGGTATCCATTTGAAATCGAGTCATTGTTCGATATGTAATTCGTGATGTTCAACGCGCGCATACCGTCGGTTTTCTTATCTGAAAGCTCCAATATCATCAGGGTGTCCTGAATATATATAAATTCCTGCTTTGTTTGATCATTGAAACTCACACATGTCCTTTCCAAATCAGGGTGGATCTGGTAAATATCATCTCAATTCCAGGTGGTTATACCGTGTTTTTTTGCGCTTTGTTAATTTACGAGCAAAACAATCTTTCAATCCTTATAGTTTGGATTTGTGAGATCCCATATCGGTTGCAGAGGAGAACAAAACATTCTTTATAAGAGTGTGGAAACCTCTCCATAGCAAACGCTTTTTAAAAACTTTGAGGGAAGCCTGAAAAGGAAAGCTCAAAGAGGACGATATCTGCTAGCGGTGGGCTTGGGCTGTTACAAATGGTATCAGATCCAGACACCGGGCGATGTACCGGCAAGGAGCCTTAGCCGTAAAGGGGGGTGGACATGAGGCAGTGTGCTAGCAAGGACGCTAGGCCGCAAAGGGGCTAGATTGGGAGGTCCCACATCGCTTGGAGAAGGGAACAAATGCCAGCGAGGACACAAGACCCGAAGGGAGGTGGATTGTGAGATCCTACATCGGTTAGAGAGGAGGAGAACGAGCCATTATTTATAAGGGTGTGGAAACCTTTCCCTAACAGATGCGTTTTAAAACCTTAAGGGGAAGCTCGAAAAGGAAAGCCCAAAGAGGACAATATTTGCTAGCGGTGGGCTTGAGTTATTACAAATGGTATCAAAGCCAGACACTGGGCGATGTGTCAGCGAGGAGGCTAAGCCCTGACGGGGGGTGGACACGAGAGGGTGTGCCAGCAAGGATGCTGGGCCCCAAAGGGGGGTAGATTAGGGGGTTCCACATCGATTGGAGAAGGGAACAAATGCCAGCGAGGATGCTGGGCCTCGAAGGGGGGTGGATTATGAGATCCCAAATCGGTTGGAGAGGAGAACGAAGCATTCTTTATAAGGGTGTGGAAGCATCTTCCTAGCAGACGCGTTTTAAAAACCTTGAGGGGAAGCCCAAAAGGGAAAGCCTAAAAAGAACAATATCTGCTAGCGGTGGGTTGGATTGTTACAGTGTCAGCGTCTAGCTCTAGGGATCAAGTGAAAAAGAAAAACAATCAAACTTGCTTTTAATTTATCTTCACATATTATGAGTTGTAGTTTCGAGTACGTAGAGCCCTTACGGTATGATGAGTATTAACATTATTGACTCGAGAAATTTACATATTTAAACTTTGTATACGACAACGAAGGTGGAAGAGTCAACTTTTGTGGCGTGTGTTCTTTACTTCTGCTGTCGTGGCTGTCGTGGTACGTGCAGCCATGGGATGGTGTAAGAGTGGAAAGTGTGGACATTTTGGTTCAGGTGGTTTCATAATATGGGACATATGAGAGTAAGGTTCATAATCCATTCATCCAGAGTTTATTGACCTTTTTGGTAACTTTATTCATATAGCTTAAGGCGTAGTTTTCTTTGTTGCATGCTCTTTCATTGTCCTGTCTCATATTTTCATTCCGCCCAAGTCCACCGCTAGCAGATGTTGCCTTTTTTGGACTTTTTCTTTCGAGTTTTCCCTCCAGATTTTTAACACGCGTCTGCTAGGGAGAGGTTTCCACACCCTTGTAATGAATGCTTCGTTCTCCTCCTCAACCGATGTAGGGTCTCACAATCCACCCCCCTTCAAGGCCCAACGTCCTTACTGGCACACCGCTCCGTGTCCACCCCTCTTCGTGGTTCGGCCTCCTCGCTGACACATCAGCTGGTGTCTGGCTCTGATACCATTTTTAACGGCCCAAGCTCACCGTTAGCAGATATTGTCCTCTTTGGGCTTTCCCTTTTGAGCTTCCCCTCAAGGTTTTTAAAACGCATCTGTTAGGGAGAGGTTTCCACACCCTTATAAAGAATGTTTCGTTCTCCTCCCAACCGATGTAGAACCTCACAATCCACACCCCTTCGGGGCCCAACGTCCTTGCTGGCACTCCGCCTCGTGTCCACCCCCCTTCAGGGTCCAACTTCCTCACTTGCACATCGCCCGGTGTCTGGCTCTGATACCATTTGTAACAACCCAAGCCAACCACTAGTAGATATTGTTTTCTTTGGGCTTTCCCTTTCAAGCTTCCTCTCAAGGTTTTTAAAACGTGTCTACTAGGGAGAGGTTTCCACACCCTTATAAAGAATGTTTCATTCTCCTCCCAACCGATGTGAGATCTCACAATCCACCCCCTTCGAAGCCCAGCGTCCTTGTTAGCACACCGCCTCGTGTCCACCCTCCTTTGGAGCTTAGCCTTCTCGCTGGCACATCGCTCGGTGTCTAGCTCTAATACCACTTGTAACGGCTTGTAACGACCCAGATCCGCTGCTAGCAGATATTGTCTTCTTTGGGTTTTCCCTTTCGGGCTTCCCCTCAAGGCTTTAAAATGCATCTACTAGGAAAAGGTTTCCACACCCTTATAAAGGGTGCTTCGTTCTCCTCCCCAACCAATGTGAGATATCACAATAAGCCTCTAGCCAATATTCCTCCTTGCATTTTCTCTCTCCTTTTCTTTGTGTTCATCTAGATCGAGTGTGTGTTGTTGTGCGATCCTAACAGCTTATTCATATGAACACTTCAGGTTGTTGGCGATGTCTTCAATGAAGGCTTATATGAAGAGCAGGCTCAACTGAAGGGTATTCCATTACTGGAATCAATACCAAAGTACCAGATGCGGAAAATTACAGCAAAAGAGGCTTGTGGAAAAAGGGTAACCTTCACTTATTCTTGAAACTCTTATCACTGTATAATTTAGACCAAGTATTATCCAAGCAATGATGTTTCATTAACTATTCTTCCTCACCGACACGTTGTGTTCTCTATTCGAAGGTTGTCTCCTTCCCCCGTGTCGTTAAGGTTGCTGACGTTGTTAGTATTTTATGGAGCAACCGACATAATGGCTTTCCAGTGAGCATAGCTAAATTCTTCTTTTTCTCCTCATATGTTCACCTTTTCTTAAGGTTGTGCTTCTTTGCCTCTTAGGTGATTGATTACTCTAGAAATGGAGAAACACGTGTCGTTGGACTGATGCTTAGAAGGTATAGTGTGAAGGACAACCCACCTTTTGTTTGGGGGTGGGCTAGGTGATATATATGTGAGATCCCATATCAATTGGAGAGAGAAACGAGTGCTAGTGAGGACGTTGGACCTCAAAGAGAGGTGGATTGTGAGATCCCACCTCAGTTGGAGAGGGGAACGAAGCACTCTTTACAAGTGTGTGGAAACCTCTCCCTATCAGACTCGTTTTAAAAGCCTGGAGGGGAAGCCTTAATGGGAAAACCCAGAAAGGACAATATCTGCTAGCGGTGGACTTGAGCCGTTACAAATGATATCAGAGCTAGACATTGAGCGATGTGTCAGCAAGGAGGCTGAACCCTGAAGGGGGTGGACATGAGGCGGTGTGCCAGCAAGGACGTTGGGCTCCGAGGGGGGGGTGGATTGTGAGATTCCACATCGATTGGGGAGGAGAACGAAACATTCTTTATAAGGGTGTTTCGTTATAAGGGTGCGAAAATCTCTCCCTAGCCCGAAAAGAAAAGCTCAAAGAGGATAATGTCTGCTAGCGGTGGGCTCGGGCGGTTACAATATGATTCGATCTTACCATAAATCCTAACGATATCTTTGTCGATGCATCTGCAGTCTAAAGTAGATTTTCAGCATAGTTCTTTGCCTTCAGATCCAAAAGGATCCATACAAAGCAGGTGAATAGAAACTTGATTCAAGATCAAATGATGGGTTATCCTCACTTTTTTCATTAAGTTCTTAAATATCCATTGAACTTCAGGCACAATTTCAGTGAATTTGTGAAGCCTGCTTCCAGTAAAGGCATTTCCATTGATGATATTCATCTTAGTTCAGAAGACTCGGAAATGTATATCGATCTGCTTCCTTACCTGAACCCATCTCCATATATTGTCCCAGAAGATATGTCTTTGACAAAGGTGATGACTTTATTTGCTTCATAGTTTCATCTACTTTTGTTATTCACTCAAAATGTTGCATCTTCCAATGGCCTAGGTGTATAATCTTTTCCGACAACTAGGTTTGAGACACGTGTTTGTTGTCCCCCGACCATCGAATGTGGTCGGTTTGATAACTCGAAAGGATTTGTTGATGGAGGTAGTATGTCAACCTTACCACATTTTAATATTTCAAATGCACGAGTTTGTATGTTAACAAGATATGATCACCTCTGTGCAGGATAGCGAAGATTCGGATGCGACGGAGCTACAATCGACGAGTGTAAGGTCTTTGACTCTCTATGATGCTTTACTTGTCTACCAAAACAGGAATACTTTGGTCATTGAGAAATCTGTGACATGGCTATCCCAAAAGGTTCTAGTTTCCATCTTTGTCTTAAACAGATACTGGGTTTGAACTAAAACTCGTAAAAGAACACATCTACTTTGACCTAGATGTCTATTTGTGAGATCCCACGTTGATTGAAAAGAGGAACGAGTGCCAGTGAAGACGCTGGGTACTGAATGGAGGTGGATTGTGAGATCTCACATTGGTTGGGGAGGAGAACGAAACATTCTTTATATGGGTGTGGAAACCTCTCCCTAGTAGATGCATCTGAAAAGAAACCTGGAAGAGAAAGCCTAAAGAAGACATTATCTACTAGTAGTGGGCTTGGGCTGTTACAAATGATATTAGAGTCAGACACCGAGCAGTATGCCAGGGAGAACACTGGGCCCAAAGGGGGTGGATTGTGAGATCCCACATCGGTTAGGGAGGAGAATGAAACGTTCTTTATAAGGGTGTGGAAGCTCTCCGTAACAGACGCATTTTAAAAACCCTGAGGGGAGACCCGAAAGGGAAATCCTAAAAAAGACAATATTTGTCAGTGGTAGACTTGGACTATTACAAATGGTATTACAACCAGACACTGTGCGGTGTGCCAACGAGGATGATAGTCGCGAAGGAGGGTGGATTGTAAGATCCCACACTGATTGGAGATAGGAACGAGTGCTAGCAAGGACGCTGGGTCTCGAAGGAGGTGGATTGTGAGATCCCACATTATTTGGGGAGGAAAACGAAGCATTCTTTATAAGTGTGTGGAAACCTCTCCATAGCAAACGCGTTTAAAAAACCTTGAGGGGAAGCTTAAAAGAGAAAACCTAAAGAGGATAATATCTGCTAGCGGTGGACTTAAGTTGTTACACTATTATTCCACGAGACTTCTTAGAATGCGATGAAACATGCTTAAGAAACTGTAGTTGCTGGCGAAACATGTTTGTTTAGCATGTCAAACGTAGTTATATATAGAAATCGCAGCAAATATAAACTTCTTCAACCCCAACTAGTTAATGTTAACATTGTAACAATGGCAGAGCTCATCGTCCAGATAGAAGAATACATACCCATAGGGACGTGGAGAGGCCACTTCTGAATGGACTTCTGGTGAACAACACAGACAACTGATAAGAATCATAAAGCAGCTCTGCTATTACTTTATGCTTATCTCCATCTTCCCATTAGGCAACATAATTTTGTATGGCTGACCTGCTCAGATTCCAAGCCCAACCCAGCTACCTGCAACATTGTATTGTATCTGTAACGACCCAACCCAGCTACCTGCAACATTGTATTGTATCTGTAACGACCCGGGAAAGAAAGAATAATACATATATATACATATAATAAAAATAAATAAATAAATAAAATAAAGTAAAAAAAAATAACTCAAGTCGCCGGAAAACCCGCGAGTTTTCCGGCGACCGCCGAGTTTCGCGGAACTCACGTGAAACAATGGCCATAGCACGCCCAGCCCTCAGCCCATGACACCCAGCATCTTCAGAACACCTGCAAAGGGAGAAAAGAGAGAAAATTTCGAGAGAGAGAGAGAGATTTCGAACAAACGTCGGCGAGTGTCCAGTTTCTCCGACAAGCCCTCAAACTACCCTCAAGCCAACACCAAACGACCTGTTACCACCATAAGAGGGATCCCTAACGAAAGCACAATAACTCAGGGTGCGTTTTGTGTTATTTCGTAAGCGTCGTCGTCGGTAACCGAGGTCGGAAAAATTAGGTTTCTTAATCAATTCTTAGATCTATGGCTTTTAGGAGCTTTTAGGTCGCAAAACTCCCAGAAAAGAAAGAAGGACGACGAACAAAGAGGAAAAGGGAAGGAAGAGGACCGAAATCGGCAACGGAAACGCCGCGGGAAAGAGAGCTCGCCAGAAAATCGGCCGAAGTTGGGTAAGGAAGACGAGATCCACGGATCCGGGTCAACCCGAACCCAGAACCGGGGAGAGCCAGCCCGTTCCTCCCTTGGCCTCTGCCTTCGGCCCAGCCCAACTACAGCGGCCCAAACCTCAAACCAGCCCAGAAGCTACGGTTCAGTTGAACCAACCCAGACTAGACCCACGGTCTAATTGAGCCGGCCTGCAAACCAAACTTCTGCGGCCCAGCTCAGTAAGCCGAGGCCCAACGATTAGTCTTGGCTCAGTAGCCTTCCACAGCCCACAACCCGAACCGGACTGCGACCCGCGCTTCAACCCGACACTATCACCCGACGTGGCTTTCTCTGCTACTGCCACGTGTCACACAGCGACGCAGGCAATCCCTCGGCTCGGGCTCCCTCTAGCGACGCTCCGGCGGCTCCAGTGGCTGTTCGGTTTGGCTCACCTGGTTTCCACTGTTCCGACCCTCCCGAATCTGTTTTTGGCCCCGATTAAGGAAACAAACCCCGGGGACGTAGGGAGCAGCTCTCACGGAACGGGAGCTTACGTTTAGCGATTTAAGGAGTACTTCGGCCAAGGCCAACCAAGTAAGTGGCCTTACTATAGGATAGACTAAATAAATTGTATGATGCTTGATGTTATGTGCTAGTATATACATATTTTGTTGAGTGACGCTTGATATGTTTGACGCACGTTGTGGCATTATGATGAGCATGATGATTGCATGATTTTTACCTTAATATGATGATGTTTTCCATATTGAGCATGCTAGATGATGATGAGTGCCACATTGCATCATGTCGTTAGATCGACGTAGGACACAACCCAAAGAGCATGAAATTGATAGTAATATAAATATCCACGAGTATGCGTTACCTAGAGTAACAAAGAGATGAGACTAGAGGGTTGTGTCAGAAGAGACATTACGATGGATTTAGAGGGACCTCATGCATTTTGTATGTTCATAAGCATAGGGTTACTTCCCCTAGAGATGATGAGTGCGAACGTGCACCTTACGATGAGCGCGAATGCGCACAGGTACGAAAGCACACAGATGAGGGTGTTCATGAGGCGCATGACACTATGGGGTTCTGCTGACCTTCGGACGTCGCTACAGATTAGCTTGACCAGAGGGTCCAGGGGGTGTGCGAGCCCCCTGGGGACTCACATTCGCACGTGTGAGTCGTGTGTAGGGAAGTACTACACATCCCATTTGTCCGAGACTGGAGGCCACCCCTCAGATGATTAGAGATAGGTCCCTATTCATGATTGCATGTGTTTGTATTAGCATGACCCCTATAGTGGGGTCACTTACTGAGTATTTCTGCCGTGTGCCATATTGTTTTTTTTAGGTAAAGGCAAGGCGCCCATGTACGGTTGACGGTGGCATCATGACCAGAGACTGTGGCGCGTGCATAGGATAGATGCATATTTAATTCCTAGTCTTGGTTAAGATAGGGCGTTTGCATTTCATTTATTTATATTAATTAATTTGTAATCGTTTTATTTTATCTTTTTAAACTCCAGCACAATGTTTGAAACACGTAAGTCCGGCAGTGTTTTCCAATGTTTTAATGTATTCTGAAGTTTTAAATTTTTCCGCTATTAAAGATGAGCATGCTTAGATTTTTATTTTGCATTAGAGATGAGCATGAGACGTTAGTGGCGACTCTAGATATGTGAAAATTTAGGGTCATTACAGTATCATACAATGTAAAGATGGAAAAATGGTTGAGGTAAGTTCTTGGAATGACTCAACTTTATAGGAAAGATATGAGATGTGCTAGGGAACGGGGACGGAGACGGGGATGGATGTGGCCAAATTTTTGGGAAGCTCTTAGTGAAATTATATATTCTCTGTCAAGAACAAGAGTATATTCTCTGTCTCATTCCCAACCTTGTCCCATCCCGTCCCACCTAATATAAATATATTTTTAACACATTTATAGGATCAGAAAGAATAAAAGAAAAATGAAGCATATCTTTTTTATATATTTAATCTCTTGATTTAGTCGATTGGGTCTGTACCTATCGGTGAAAGAATAAAAGAGAAATGAAGCATAGCTTCTTTATATATTTAATCTCTTGATCCAGTCAATTAGGTCTGCTCCTATCGGACCGGTGAAAGAATAAAATAGAAATGAAGCATAGCTTCTTTATAGATTTAATCTCTTGATCTAGTCGATTGAGTTTGCTCCTATCGGACTCGAGTGAAAGAATAATAGAGAAACGAAGCTATGCTTCGAGTAAAAGAAGTAAAAGAAAATGACGAAAATAGCCTTTAAAACTAATATCTTTCGATCTAATTAACCCTAAACTAGTTGGGATACGAAGACCATTTTCGTCATTTCCAAATTACAAAAACTTCAAAATTAAAAAAAAAACATAGAACAAAAAGAACACTCCATTGGCTACAAAAACAACACAGCATCGTCGCAAAAAGGCTCTCAATCTTAAGCTACAACAGAGAACAGCAAAGCCAAGAGCGCAAGGCCACCGCTGAGGCGACTGGCAGCACCGCTAGGTGCCGGTGCAGGGGAAGGTATTACAAGCGGAACAGAGGGCGACGGAGCTACAGCGGCGGAAGCATGGCGCAGCACATTAATGTCAACCTTCTGGCCGGCCTGGCAGTGGCCGGGAACGCCGCAGACGAAAAAATGATGGCCTCTGGTTGTAATAGCGATGGTGTCGTTGCCGGACGTGTGGGTCTCCAGAGGCGCCGAGACATTGCAGGATTTGTACATAGCATGCGTCACTCTCATCACGTTGTGAAATTGGGGGTTGTACTCAAATACTGAAAAAAAAAAAAAAAACAATTTTTTTTTCCAAATATTCAAACTTTTTATTAATTAAAATTAAAAAAATATAATCTTCACCGGAAACTTACCGACAACGTCGCCGACCTGGAAAGTCTTGGTAGCAGCCCACTGCTTGTAGTCAACACCGCCGATTATGGTCCATCCAGCGGCGTCTCCGACCTTATAAACCGTCGCAGCTGCTAGCTCTGGTCCCATCGTCATGACAACAAACAGCGCCGCCACTCTCTCCGCCGCAAAACCCATTTTCTCCTCTCTCAAATTTCTCTCCGCTCAAAAGAAATTTGATGGATGAGTTACAAAGACAGTAACTTTCTATGTTAATTTATATACTCTGTTTTACAAAATTTTATTTATTTATTTTACAAAAAAAATTAATTTTCTGTTTAAGGGTGGACCCATTTTGGGCATTGGATCTTAGAATTTAAGCAATTTTTTTTTAAGGAAAAAAAGTAATTTATATCCTTAAATTTTGGGATTAATTTAAATTTAAAATTAATAACGATATCAATTAAAATTCTTTTAAATAAAAATAATTATAAATAATTAATTAAGAATGATTTAACTTTTAACCATATTTTGTGGTCGCTTAATCACAATTTATTTACAGTTAGAGAATCATTTTTTAATTAAGGCAATTGATTTTTTCGCAATAAATTAAAAGAGAAAATATTTATGGGTTTAATAATTTTGACTTTAGGAGAATACGAATACGATACTATATATCTTTTTTCCTTTTACTTAACTTTTTGTGGGACCATTAATGGTTGGAGTTGAAGACCTTCCAAGGAAAGAATACAAGGTTCGGGCGAGGAACTAAATCGTTCGTAGGTAGCGTATCATACAAATTGAATATAAAGTCGTTTCTTGTGAGATCCCATAGGGGTTGTTGGAGAGAGTAACGGAACATTCTTTATAGATGTATGAATTTGTCTCCCGAACGCATTTTAAAACCTTTGAGGGAAAGCCCATAAAGAAAAGCACAAAAGAGACAATATCTGGGAGCAGTAGGCTTGAGTTGTTACAAATGCTACTGGAGACAGACAACAAACAGTGTGCAAGCAAGCACGTTAGGTCCTCAGGGAGGGTGGATTGTGAGGTCTCACGTTGGTTGGAAAGTGAAACGAAATATTTCTTATAAGAGTGTAGCACATGGGTTAAAAAAAAAAAAACTATGAGACAGACGGTAATGTGTCAAAGTAGACAATATTTGTTAGTAGTGGGATGTAAGACTGATGGTGATATGTAACAGACAAAATCAGACAATATTTGTTAACAATTGACTTGTTTACATTTATTTAATAAAAGATCTGTCGGTTTTCTTTCGTTTGATAGAGACGAGTAACTATGTGGGTATTAACATTTTGGGAGCTCTTTAAAACGAGTATCGTTTTTGCACCAAATTTGAATTCGACCATTTGAATATTTGGTGGTGGATCGTTTTTTTATGATTCAATTTATTGGAATGTTGTTTAGATATGATGTTGTCTTTTAAGTTAGAGCAACAACTAATTAGACTTTTAGAGGTTGCTTTTTGCTTAATAATTTTCTTTTAGTATGGATTCTTTGAGAATATTTGATCGATGTCTCTCGTCACCATCACCATAATTTGGTGAACAATTATTATCATCTATTACGTTCGTTTGCTATGAGATAAATGAGGTAGATTTCGAATTACTTGCAACAATAGACCCATGATCGATCTATATTAATTAAAAGCACGATCGAAGATTATGGATTTATTTTTTAAAATAATCATAATTTAGTTGGTTTATAAAAAAAACAAAAATTTTCCAATTTGGTGTTTTGCTCAACAATTAAGCAATGAGATCAGTGGGTCTTTAATGAAATAATCATGACAAATATATATATATATATATATATATATATATATTCAAAAATAATTTTTATTTTTTTTTATTTTTGTGAATATATATATATATTTCAAATAATTTTGTAATAAATAAATTCTATTAATGTTTATTAAAAAAATGTAAGAGATCTTAATAATTTAATACCGATGCAAAACAGAAGCAATCCCATGTTATCATTGGCTTATGCAATCTTCATAGTCCTAACAGTGATTCCAGTCGACATGAACCATGAGAGGAAGCTCTTGACTGATGTTGTGAAATGATGTGAAAATCTCTCCCTAACAAACGCATTTTGAAATCTTGAGGGGAAGTCTTTGAAGGGAAAGCCTAGCGGCGTGGGCTATTACACAATCTCATATAAATATCGTTCTCGACCATTGACACTCTAAAACATAAATTAGTATTTAATTTAAGCCAATGGAAGGTGAGCCAGCTCGATTATTAGTTGATCGAGCTTGGGTTTGGCCAGCAAATGCCTTAGTGCATGCAATTGTTCATCTCGGTATGTCCAAGTAAAGTCTAGACATGTTTTCTCTTATGCATGCATGCCTTGATTTGTCTTGTGACAAGAACAATTATTTTTTCTTATGGAATAGCAAACCGTACCGTTCATATACCAAAATAAGATTTGATCTTGAATTTATTTTTTATGCTCGATGTGTTATAAAACGACTCTTATTTTGAACCTATAATTAATAAGAAGAGATGTTAATATTTTATCGATTTCTAATTGGTCCGAGATATGCATGAAAAATGACGAAAAGGGTATTAACAAATGAGATGAAGAGAGAGGATTTTGAAAGGATAAGATTGGGATAAAAGATAGGTTGATATCACGAATATCAAAAACCATTAGAAACCATTAGGCAATGGCAGTCCCACGTCGATTTTTGCGAATCTTTGTCATGTCAAGCTTTTATATTGTTGCCTACTATGTTAACTTTATTAATAAGAATGTGCGCGTAATTTAATATTACAGAAAGTGTAACCAAAGTTTCACGGTAAAAGAAATATAATAAATCAGATCAGAATGGCTAACAACGAAAGTAGATAATGTCTAAACTAGTATAGAAAATCAATGTAAGCGCTCGTGAAGTTTCTTCTCCCTCTTCAATGGCGGATTCGAATCGTTTTCTTCGTCTCGTAACTTCCGTCTCCTCCTCATCTCCATCCCTAAACGTGAAGGAAAGAGCTCAACTCACGAGCGCTTATAATGTAGTGAACCGACATGTCGGCCTTGTTACAAAGAGTTGTGGGCCATCAAAAACAGGATTGAGACTGGTTTAGGGCCCATATGGCTCTCACAATCTTGCCCTAAGCCCAGATTGATGGAGATAAGATAGTCTTGGCAGAGGTTTCAATGGTGAAATTCCCATCTTGCCCCTCTCACTCACTCTAACCGTCTTCGTTCGAACATTACTTGGCTACACGTCGATTTTGTGAGATTTGACTTTGGTTGGAGAAGAGAACGAAACATTCCTTCTGAATCGGTGAACTAATTTTATATATTTTTAATATAAAACTATACCCATTATTTATTAAATATAGTTTGACTTTTTATTTATTTATTTTGTTTTGTTATCTAAATTGATTAATTAGTCAAAAGTTGAAATAAATTTATTGACAACTGTGTGTTACCCATAATAGGATGGTTGCCAAATCCAACTTAAAATCATATGCAATTAATCCATTTAAAAACAAATGTTATATAATTTTCATCAAATTTATAATTTATAAATATGACTTTAAGCATTAAAATTAATTTTTATGATTCGTTAAAATTCTCGAAATTAATTCATAAAAAATATTTAGTAGGAGAGTTTTTGAAATTTTATCACATCATAAAAATAATAATACGACAAATATACAAACATTAGTAATTTAACATTTATTTTAAAAAATAATAATACGACATCTAAGGTGTTTATATGACCTGATAACTCGACCAACCCAAATTGTCGAATCTAAGTTATAAAAAGGTTGTGGGCTGTTATGAATGATATAGAGTCAGACATCGAGCGATGTGTCTACGAAGATGTTGAGCCCTCAAGGGGTGAATTGTGAGATCTCACGTCGGTTATTGTAGATTGGATTGTGAGAGGACAATATTGGCCGTAGCTTAGACTATTATAGATTTGATTGAATTTTTTAAAAATTAAAATTTGGATTGATTTACGGGTTGCTATTTTTTTTTAGTTATAACCGATCTTACTTTTAAAATTATTATAAAGATTAAAAATAATTAAAATTTTATGAGATTTTAATTATTAATTTAGTAAGTTAGAAAACTATTGGACCTAATCTCAAACCTAATCTCAAAGTTAAAAAACGCACCACCAGGTGTTGTTGTAATGAAAAGACCGTCCACTGGGTAACCGACACGTGTCGCCACAATTAGAGGAGACCCTTTATTAAAAAAAGTCTTCAGTAGATAACACCCAACTACCCTTCTTTCCCTCCTTTAGTCGCACGTGGGTCATACCGACGTGGCACATCACACGCGCGCGAGGATTAATCATAAAGATTTATTTTATAAATAAATAAATAAATAAATAAATAAATATTTTTAAAATTTTCTATTTTATTTTGTTTTGATTGAGATCGTGAATGGGGCTTGTCGAGTGCCACCATGCAATTTTTTAATTTTTATATTAATAAACGAATTCGCTAAATTTGTTTTTAATTAAAAATTCATTAATAATGACAAAGTTAGGTTTCAAAAATATATAATTTTTCCAAAATATTCCAAAACTATTATAATGCCTAAATTATTAATCCAAATAATTGTATTGGAATTACAAAACAAATTAGATATTTTTAAAGTATTATATATTTATTTTATTGATCTAAATTAAAAAAACATTTATTTATTTTTTATTTTGAAAAATATTTACCTTTTATTCTGTTAATAAATTTGATTAACTTTTATGTATTATAAGATATTATTAAATTAAAGTTAGGATAGTGCAGACTATCATATAATAATAATAATGAATTAATTTTGCTTTTTTAATTGAAAATGTCAAAAAATGTTAATAATACAATATAATTTTATATTTTATATTTTAAAATTATTTAATTCATAAGGCATATGCTTGATGCTTATTATTATTATTATTATTATTATTTGGTTATATCGATACATTATATTTAATATTAATAATAGTTTGAATTGTTTTCTTCCCTACAATGACGTAACATGATAGATGTACAAGATCCAGTTTTTATAATATTATATGATTAATATTAAATAAATCCAAATATCTTATTTTATTTGTTAATTAATAATTATTTTACTTCTCATTTTTATAATCTAATTTTGCAAATTCTTTTATTACAATAGAAATTTATGAGACGTTAATAAATTATTCTAAAAATAGTATGTTGTATCAATATTAATTATTTAAAAATTAAATGAAAGTTA